GGACTGAACTGTTGGGGAACAGCACAGGGGAAAGGGACCTGGATGTCCTGGTGGACAGCAGGATGACCCTGAGCCAGCAATGTGCCTTTGTGGCCAAGAAGGCCAATGGCATCCTGGGGTGTATTAGAAGGGGTGTGGTTAGTAGGTCGAGAGAGTGTCTCCTCCCCCTCTCCTCTGCCCTGGTGAGGCCGCATCTGGAATATTGTGTCCAGTTCTGGGCCACTCAGTTCAAGAAGGACAAGGAGCTGTTTGAGAGAGTCCAGTGCAGGGCCACAAAGATTATTAAGGGAGTGGAGCATCTCCCTCATGAGGAAAGGCTGAGGGAGCTGGGTCTCTTTAGCTTGGAGAAGAGGAGACTGAGGGGGGGCCTCATTAATGTTTATAAATATGTAAAGGGTGACTGTCATGAGGATGGAGCCAGGCTCTTCTCACTGGCATCCAATGATAGGACAAGGGGAAATGGATATAAGCTGGAACATAGGAGGTTCCGCTTAAACATGAGGAAGAACTTCTTCCCAGTAAGGGTAACAGAACACTGGAACAGGCTGCCCAGAGAGGTTGAGGAGTCACCTTCTCTGGAGATGTTCAAAACCCGCCTGGACACGTTCATGTGCTGTCTGATCTAGGTGGTCCTGCACAGGCAGGGGGACTGGACTAGATGATCCTTTGAGGTCCCTTCCAATCTCTAACATTCTGTGATTCTGTGATTCTGTGATAAGTAAGATCAGTCTTTCCTATTTAAATTGAAAGAACATCAAGGAGTGCAAAACACAAATTAGAACATACTAAACCCACATTATCCTCATTCTGTGTTTGCACTGCAATAAATAGCGCATGAAGTTCCGAGATCCACACAGACAAATGGCAATTAGCAGCACAGTCCCTTTCCTCAGGCACAGACGATCTAAACATACATCGAGAGGCTCCACGTAGGCATCAACAACAGATTGATGTATGATGGGGTGACAGACAGAAACAAAACAAGTGGTTCTGAAAGAATTCCAGTACTTGTAAAGAACTCTAATTAAGATCTTAAGACATAGGCGAAACCAAAGAGATTTTCAGATTGTCTAACAGACAGAACTTCCATTTCAAGGTATTTATATCAATACAGGTTAGACACAATCTACTCATGCAATTCTGAAAATCCCATTAAGGTAAGTTGTGCCCATACGCCCTTGAGAATTTGGCCTTTGAGCATTTAAGAGCGTCAGTCTTGCTGACTTGTAATAAAATGGATCTTGTAAAGTACCTGAGATGTTTTGAAAACATGCCTTGGATACTGCTGAACTTTAAGACTATTATCACATACGAAATCAAGCTTCTAATTAAGAAGTCATAGTGACTTATAGACTTCTTAATTTGAAATAAACTTTATATTATATAAAGAAAATTCTTAGATGTATCAGTGTTTACCTCAGTTTTCCAATAAAACTCTCTCCACCCCGAGACAGGTCAGTTGGGTCTATGGAGATGAGGTAATTAGAGGTTTTACTCTTCTTTCGTTTCCTTCCAGCTAACAGAAACACCTAAGCAGTACAAAAAACACATTCTAGAATGCCAAAGGGGTTAGTACACACCACCTCCCGCTTTGATATACGTAAACCATAGGAAATTCTTCTGTCTTCCAGCATCATTACTGAAGTAACAGAAGGTCTCCTGGGACTTAGCAAAACCAGATAAAAATCTGGAAAGGAAAAGTGACTTCTCAACCACCCAGTCTGTTATTTATGGTTTAAATAATTAAATTTGATCTATTTGGTTAAATGCTTCATTCTAAGATGCTCTGAGTCTTCCAGATGAATTGAAAATAGATGCTTTTCAGGCCAAAGAATGCAGAGTGCCCCAACTCCTGACTGTCACATAAAGGTGCCATGCATGGATTGTTTAAGGCCAAAGATTAGACACAGGAAGAAAGGCAGTACAACAAAGTGAAACTACTGTTTGCTTTTGGAAGATTGTAGGGCAGATCTCAGTGAAAATAGATTTTACATATAAGACTATACTTTCTTTGTAAGACTTCTTCAGATTTTTATTTTTTTTTTTTATATTCAGATGCAACTGGTATGCCATTCCAGTTATTTTATGACCTTTTTACCATGCTCCCTTTCCAAGTGGAGGTAATAAGTAGGGTACATCCCTCGGTCCATTCCCTTCTTGTCTCTTGTGATTCTGCATTTGACGGTGACACCCTGTGGAGCAGGTCTTACAGAAAATTCCTCCAGGTCATCAACATCTACGAGAGGCTCATTTGTGGAAGGACTTGGGGCTGAGGCCGTTTCCTAAAACAGTAAGCAAAACTCAGATTTCCTCGACTTTGATTTACAAGGTTATAAGTACAAAGGAATGAAATTTGATGGAAGCCGCATTTAAAAAAAAAATAAATATAAAGGACATATTGTCTTCCCCGTTCTGATTCCTCAGCAGTCTTGAAGGCAGCTTATCAAGCTAAGGATCACTCCTCATTCAACTGCTCAAGCTCTTGGCTACCAAAGCCCCAGGGAGCAGTTCTGTGTGCCGCTGATGCTCAGCGTACAGACACACCTGGCACAGCAGAACAGGGTGGCTGCACAAGCAGAGTGCTGTAATGTTACAACACCAACGCTGGCTCACACCGTCCCATCTCACCACACTTCTCTTCAGAAAGGCTATACCCAAGGACAGTGATGCTCTTTGATGAAAGGAGAAATGGGATGGGGACAGGCATTTTAAGCTAGATAGAAATATAACAGAGATGAGCAGTCAGTGCAGTATATAAAAGAGTGGGTCGCCATCAACAGGTTTAGCAAGAACTTGCGATTTAGAATATTTGAACAAGCCAAAGTCTTATTTTATGTTTGGATGGTAGCAGTGAGAACAGGGTGGGAAAACGCTCAGAAACAGGCAATAAAAACAAAAGATCCTTCTGAGCACCTGCAAGAGGCAGAAAGATAAATATTTACTGTTTACCTTTCTCTTCATTCAAGTTCAGAAAATATTTGCTATTCTTTTCTCCAAGTCATTACTTTCATTGCTTGCTCCTGTGAACCCTGAGAGCTATCACAGTGAATCACCTTGGAGATACTCTAGTGCATATTAAAAACAAAACAAGAAAGCCAGGACTATCCTGACTGCACCCTGAAATCACGCACATAGCAGCCTGCGTGCTCCTTCTTCGGCACTCACCCCTTACCTTATTGGATTTCTTGCTTGTGGCAGAACCAGGACGGGTGTTACTGTTTAACTGTGAAGAACTGGAGCTGTCTTCATCTTCCTCATCCTCTTCCTCATCAAAATTCATGCTGCTTGAAATGCCTGAGGAGAAAGCAGTGCACTTATATGAAATACTAATACATTAAAGCTGTCCAAACTTGCTGTAAAACATCACTTATTATACTGTTGCACCCTAAGGCTCACAGGTGAGAAAGGGGGTGTGTGAGCAGGGTTCACTGTGCGAGGCAACGTACAAATACGTGGGTGAGACTGTACCTGCCCTGAGAAGCCAAAACTTTTCAGCAAATAAGAAAGCAAATATCATGGTTTCCATTCCATAGAGAGGATTGAGTTACCCAGTGATACAACATCCAGTTAGGAATTAAATTCAGATCCTCTTAATCCAATCAAGTACTTCAAACACAAAACAAAATCTTAAACCTGAAATTGGAATTGAGTGGACAACCTATCACAGCCATTTGGAAACCTTAACAATTAAAATACGAGCCCTTCTACAGCACACGTTTAACTGTTCCTATGTGATCTGATGAAGAGCAGATCTTAGACTGAGAAGAAACATTCACATCAAAGAAATGTTCTCATGCATATTTATTTAATGTAAAATACAGTATCAGTCCAGGCCAACAGAGCTCCTTTACAGCACTTAAAAATGTGACTTTACAAGAATTCAAAACCTCAGGCTTTTCAAAGGGAAACGCAACTTGGAACATCAAATAGGACTCAGCAGCAGAAAGCATCAATGCTGGGTCATTTGCCAGACCTAGTTTTTCAAGGAGTATCATGCAGATAAAGCCATCCTGTGCTCGGGTTCAAACTTTAAGTTCCACATACTAGAGGCTAACTACACAATATTTTTTCCTAAAAAAAAAAAAAAGAAAGAAAGAAAGAAAGAAAGAAAAAATATGTGGTCCAGAATTTCCACTATTGGTAAGTCCAATGCAGAAGGATAACTGAAATGCAAAGATTTCCAGAGCCAAGCAGCACAGGCATAATTAACTTTTTCCTTCTGTACTTACCAGGAACATGATCCAGGGCGACAAGACTGGATTGGGAGGTGGAAGAGGACCAGGATGTATTTGCATGGGGATCTGGGAAAGGAAAAAATCCAAGGGCTTGATTCCACAAACCCTTAATTGACTGAACAAGCCTAATTTGCCAACAGGTCTAAAGGCGTACTGGATGGGGCCATAATGCTGCTGCCAGAATTCCTAATTACGGATATTTTATCTTCCTGCACAATCAAATTCACCTTCTACCTGCTTATATACCTGCTGTCACCTTTTTTTTTAATACTTTGATTAAAGTCAAAAAGACCTGGATCACAGAGCTGAAGCTTCAGAAAATATCATCCATGCTGAACGGATGTGCCACAAACCCTTCTGTGCACAATGTTCCCTGCATGGTAGGTTTTTGGCCTACTTTTGAATTTTAACACAGCAAAAAATAAAACTGATCAATGCAAGTGATTCTCAGGCTCTCTAAAATGTTCTTCTGGGACTTCCAGGGATACACGTAGAGACTTTCACATAGCTTTGTCTTTTGGAATGTGAGCTTGGTCTGCAACAAGTAGAGACTGAACCAAACTAATGTACAGAAATATAAACATCAGAGATAGTATCAGTAATAGTTTTCTTCAGTTCAAATTTTGGAATGGAATGAAAAAAAAAAAGACACCAAAAAAAGTACTTAAATACTTTTTACGTTATTGCTGCTTCCAGTAACTTCAATGTATAACCCTTTAAAATAGCTTTTGACACCAGATACATATCGGGTAATGAAACACCACCAGAGTAGTAAGAGTAAGTGTATAAAAATAAAACAGAAGCATATGCAATGCTAGTATTCCATTCAGCTGCACAATGAATGGTCTCATTATTCACTTCTTCAGTTCTCCCAATCTGGACATACACCACGCAGCACGACAGCAAAAAGTTTCAATAGGATGTGGTTATGCAAGGGAGGCCTGAGTTCATAGGTCAACAGATTATTTTCAAAGCCTGTAGGACTCACTCATTATTAATCACACACTCATTAATCACAAGCATTATTTCTTAATAATGACAACCACGCTCTAGTCAAATATGCATGGGTAATAGAGACAGTCCATCTCCTCAGCTGGCAGCTGTGCAATAAAGCCATACTTGAATATGCACAGATGCAATGCATTTATTTCTACATCTGTGCTCACTATTTCACCACCAGTATTTTGATGGTGAAAATTCCATGCCAGCTTTCGAAAAGTCTGTGCTTGACCTATGGGGAAGAATGCTTCAGAGAGCTCCTGTTTTGTTTTTGAACCTCAAAATCAAACCTACTCCTTCCCTAAATCTCAAAACAGTTGTCATCTCAGGTAGCAAAGAACAACTAAGACCAAATTGCTTGTTCCAAGTCTTTACAGAGGCATACAGGAAACTGATAACTGTGAAGACTAAATATTAGTTATTCAGTGTTAAAACTTAAGGAAGTCTGGCTCTGTCCTAGTGACTCATTTGCAAGAGAGAAACTCTACATATTAAGTCTTCTGAAATCAAAAGGATGAATATTTCCTGTAGGAAGAAAATGATTCTAGTACGGCAATTTCCAACAGATGGAGAAATGAAACATTTGGTATTTTCTTGCAAGCGGCATACTCTTTTCACGTTCAGGTAGCCTATAGCCTCTGGTAACAGAACTTGACTTCCTGGGGAAGCAGAGACACGTGCTGAGAGAGGCTTTTCTCCACAAAGTTAGTTATCAAAGAGCAGAATGGGCACAAATCAGGGCTACGCAAATCTGATGGTACTCAGCGTTTCCCGTTAGGCCAGTTAGCATTTATCTCTGTGTTCTTCTCCTTTTGCTCTTATTCCACGCAAGAGAAGGACTGACGGGAGACAGCAATTCTAAACGAATTCAGATCCACGGGGACATGCCAGTAAGGACATGCCACAAGGAGTCAAGTGGCAGTGGGGATCCACATGAAAAACCCTAACTCTACATAAAGCTTCCCACGAATACTGAGATACTCAAAACTTTCTAACAAGCCTTCTCTGCTGTTATCAAGTGGCAAGCCATACACGCATGGTAAAAATATTTTATGGAGATGCTGCTAGTTGCAGACTTGTCTTAATACCTTCCTTGTGTCTCACAGAGTATACTGTTGTTAATAAAAATTAGTAAATCTCAGCACTCTCATTTAAAAAAAAGTGCCCCCCGCCCCGACTTCAAGCATACTGGTGGTCCACTCTCAGCAGTGTCTGTTCTGATCAGGAGTGTACTCAGACCCGCACAAAAAAAAAGGTTGTATCATATATTTAAGAATATGAAGCAACAAAGCAAAACAAAATCAAATAAAAAAATAATGCACCCACTGCTTCTATTAAAAAATAAAGAGAAAAAATGGAGAGAATAAGAATATATCTTTAACCTGGAAAAAACATCAAAAATAGAAATGTCTCCCAGAGTAAAAATCTGAGTGCTCTGACCTAATTTGAGAAGTCTGTTGACAGTTTTTAAGTCTATCAGCTTTAGTAAGTGGTGTGCCTGATGATTAAATATTCTAAGCCATAGTTTAAGGCAACACAATCACCACACAGATCAGAACTTGTTAGTCATGCCAACATCCCTCCGACTCAAAATGCCCAGGAAATACCACACTTGGAGAAAATCTGCCCATTTCAGTTGAAGTTGCTCACATCTGCAGAGTAATGTCCCTGAAAAAATGAATCTTAGTGAGAACTGCTCTGCAGACAAGAGGCGGGCATTTAGGTATGAATAGTCTATTCTAGATGAGTCAAGTTTGCACTTACGTTTTGCTCTTTATACACAAAGAGTTTATTCTTAAAGCATCAGAGCACTCTTGGTTTGAGCCAAAAGCTGTACACTGAAGAACAACTCCAAAGCAAATGCCTTCAGAAAAAGCTTTGTGAGGATTTTAGGATTTTTTTTTCCTTCCTACAGTTAACATCTAATGAGAGATAATAACAGTGCAGGAAGGAAGAGACAGATGCATGAATGTGTACATACACAATCTATCTCCCAAATCACGCAAGCCTCTAGAAAAAAAAAAAAATTCCAGAACATTTGAGGGCTACGCATGGGATATGCTGCAGAATACACAGTGCTGTAATTTTCACCTCTGCACACTTGAAGGCATGTTATGAAAACATGAACAATATTTAACTGACAACATAACTAAAATTCATATTCTAGTTTGAATGTTGTTATTCTGTACTGTTTTTTAACCCTCAAGTAAGTGATTTCCAGAGTTGTATAATATAAAAATGTGAGCAGATGGATATGAGCATTAACATCTGCCTGTACCTTAATAGCAGCACTGCAGTGCAGATGGAAAAGCCATATCCTTGAGAGCCTGGAGAGCTCTTGTTCCTTGAGATGAGAGAGAATGTCTTTTTTTTCTTTTTTTCTTTTTTTTTTTTTTGAGATAATAGACGAGAGGCAAACAGGCTCTCAGGAGAAGAAACACAGAGCAACAATCTCTGCTTAGGCTAGGGCTGAGAGGGAGGATAGGAAAAGGAGTCAACACACATAAAGCAGCAGTGAGAACACAAAGGCAGCTTTGGCCACTTACCTTTTTTCTGCATTGCTGTTCTAAGATCTTGTTTGCTTTGCTGTTGCTGGCCACTAGCCATTTTCTCTCCATCATCTTCATCATGGCTAGACTGTCCAACAGTGAGAATCTGCACTTGACTTCCTATCTTCTGAACATCATCTTGAAAAGCAGCTGGGCCATCAATCCCTGTCAGACAACAGCAATGCCTTAGCTGTCTTTGTGTCAAGAAATTACTGAAAAGAGAATTGCTCACTCACAAAAAGCATCTGTTCTAAGAATCAGAGATCAGAGGTTCATATTCAATAATGTTTCTAGATTTAAACAAGACTAAACTAGCCTCCAAGGCAAATATCTTACGCCCCACATACTGCACTAGAGAATCTCCAAGAGATGATTAGGATTTCACTGTTGCCCTCCTCACCCCCAAAGCACAGTCATCCACGCACCAGAAACACTAAAAACGAAACAGAAAAAAATTCACTGGGGAGGACTGACAAAGAAACCAGATGTAGCTTTTGTGAGGACACACAACTGGTCTGGAAACAGATAATCCTGAGTTGCAGATTATGCCATATCCTCTCATACACCAGACTGCCATTATGAACTGATGCTTCAAAGTTTCAGAAACCTGGAAAATTCACAAATCCATCTAGCCATGTATACAACAGGAAGAGCAGCAGGTTAACAAGTCTCAATATGCCTACTGAGAGTTAAAACATCAGTTTTAAGAAGTTATAAAGAAGATAATACGTATTCCCTGGAACCTCCATCCTCTGAGATGCTCAAATCCTGACCAGGTATGGTCCTGGGCAACCTGCTCTGAGCAGAAGCGTGCGACAGATCTTCCAGCCTCAGCGATGCTGTGATTCTGTGGCATCTGATGATATCCAGAAAGAAACTATTTACCTCCTTACAGCTGTAAATCACCTCTGAAGACACAGAAATGAAAATATGGGGGTGGGGCGTGTTTCTATCACAAGCTACCTTCATTTTTTTTCGAAGACACAGAAATGAAAATATGGGGGTGCGGCATGTTTCTATCACAAGCTACCTTCATTTTTTTTTCTTCAGAACAGCAAGTTAAAACATCAGATTGCAAATGTACTTCAGCCCTTAGTTAAGACTTAGCGCTGGTATATAGTACCAAATTAGCTATATAAAAATGCACTTTTGCACCAATAAAAATGATAATATGATCATGTAGAGATATAGTAAATAATATAAGCCTGTATACCATTGCTGTTCTGAAATTTTGTTTAATAAGCAAGCAACCCTGAGGAGAATTAGCAAGCATTACAAAGAGCTAGTTCAGTAAAAGAATATGGTGCTCCTCACAACAAACAGAGCTGAATAAATCCTGTAAGAAGGAGCTGTAGGGATTGGGATTTTTTCAGACTGCAATCTGTAGCAAAAGTCTCCAAGAATATCACTTCAACCTGCTCTGCCAGCGGCTGTCAACTTGCATTAAGAGACAACCGGATTATACATATAGCGTGCTTAGCTTTACTTTGCCACACATGCTGTCACTGCCACTGTGATATGAAGCTAAGTGGAAAAGAGTGGTCCACACCCTCAGGAACAGGATCAGCACTGCCTGTGCAACTACCTAACAAGATGCAGCCCAACACTGCAGAAGTATTAAATTCCCAGAGTTCAAGATCAAAAGGAATTACTAGCTCATCTGCATAACACAGACCCTTATCAGGCAATTTCTGCACCAGCCCTGCAAATTCGGATTTACTTATGGTAAAACCAACAACAACAATGAATAAACAATCATAGAATCATGGAATATGAGGTTGGAGGGGACTTCAAGGATCATCTGGCCAAACCTTTCTTGGCAAGCACAGTCTAGACAGCACCTGTCTAGACCAGCAACCTGTCCAGCTGAATCTTAGAAGTGTCCAATATTGGAGAATCCACCACTTCCCCGGGGAGATTATTCCAAATTGTGAAAAATTTTGTTCTCATTGTGAAAATCTTCCTCTTACGTCCAATCCGAATCTCCTCAGGATTAATTTGTACCCATTACTCCTCGGCTTTTCCATGTGACACCTTGCAAAAAGTGAGTCTCCATCTTCTTTGTAGCCACCCTTTAAATACTGGAACATGATGATAAGGTTTCCCCTAAGCCTTCTTTTCTCAAGGCTCAGTGAACCCAGTTTTCTCAGCCTTTCTTCATATGGCAGGCTTCCCAGTCCTTTGATCATCTTTGTGGCCCTTCTTCAGCCTCCTGCCAGCCTGTCCACTTCTTTTTTATATAGCAGGAACCAAATTGAACACAGTATTCCAGGTGTGGCCTGACAAGCACTGAGGAGAGTGAGATAATGACAGGAGGGCTGACATGTAAGCTGCTGTATTGTTCTTCCAACAAATGCCTGGGTAGTTGAAGTCATTCATAAGAACTAGGTTCTGTTGACACAAAGCTTGCTTAAGTGACCCAACTACTGCTTCGTTGGCCTTATCATCTTGGTTTGGAGGTCAGTAGATGCCTAACGTAAGATCCCCCTTGGAGAAGACCCCTCTGATCTTGACCCTGAGGCATTCATAGGGCTTCCACAATCACTGTAGTCAACTTCTATAGGTTCAAGGTTCTCCTCAACACAGAGCATGACTCCACCTCTTCTTCTCTGCCTGTCTTTACAAAACAGCCTATAGCTATCCATCGCGATCCTTCAGTCCTGGGAGTTGTCCCACCATTTTTCAGTTATTCTGATGATATCATAACTTTCTGATTGGGCACAGAGCTCCAGTTCCTCCTGTTTGTTCCCCAGGCAGCGTGCATTGGTTCACATACACTTGAGGTGGTTGGTCTTCTGGTTCTCATCTTGGGAGGCAGCTAAGGAACATTTGTCACTGCTCCAGTTGGCCTGGCTTATTCCCCAGTTGGATGCAATGGCGTGAGTGTTGTCACTTTGGACCCTGCCCCCTGAGTCTTTCAGCTTAAAGTCCACCTCACCAGGTTGGCCACCCTGCTGCCAAAGATTCCCTTGCCTCTGCTAGGCAGATGAATCCTATCCCTCCCGAACACGCTATAGTCATTGAAGAATGCCCCGTTGTCACAAAAGCCAAAACCCTCACAACAGCACCAGCCATGAACCCAGAAGTTGATTTGTGTTATAAATCTATTTCTGGCTGCATCCTTTCCTCTAACTGGTAAAATGGAAGATAACTTAGGCACCAATACTTTTTTTGCACCCCCAGGGCTTTGTAGTCTTCCTTGATTCTGCCATCCAATCTGTTCATCCAATCTTGAAGAACTAAATATACTTCATGGAAATGTTCCTCTCATCTTGGTAGGATAAGAATTCCAACAGGAGTTCTGTGTGATGCAGAATGAACAGTACAATTTCCTATGTTGCAGATGTAATATGGCACTGAACAGAATTGCATTTTTCTTAAAAGTTATCTCTTAAGCACTACAGCAAAGGTAATCTAGAACAGACAAGTCAGATCCACTGTGGTATTTTTAATATCTTTAATCATATCAACCATTATCATTAAAGTGGCTGCCTGAAGTTCGGTTCTTACCTTAATACACTGTATTTCAAAAGTGTTAGGCGTCTATGACTTTAACAAGATGCTCATGCCTCGTGCATATCTATCTAGCCCCTTATTAAGCTTTGGACAATATAAATCTAATTTTGAGAACCCATTTCAAAAGGAACAAAACACTTTAATTATTCTCCTTCAAAGCAGACATTGATCTGCAGCAAATGAAATGCCTTGAACAGCATTAGACGTTGCACTGAGGCTGCTTTCCTCCGATGCCTGCAGAACATCTGCGCTTACATCCCATGCTGTTAGGAACATCACGTATTATTAGCCATTAGGACAAAGGCTACACAGGCAGGTCACACTTTTAGAGAAGAAAAATCAATTTCAGTATTCTGAAGAGCACATCACTGGTAGAGTGTGTTATTAAGCATTATGAATAGTTCCACTGGTGACCCCATTTAAGTAAATGGAAGATGCAGCAAGACAGAGAGAAAAAAAAAAAAAAAACAAACACCAAAAAACAAAAACGAACCTCTGCTGCACTGTAATATTTTAGATGGTTCATGGTAAACGCAGCATTAACTATTTAATATTTAATATTTGTGTGTGTGCATGCACCTTTGTAGCTATATATGTATATGTAAAACGGTATTAAATTCAAACATACATAAACATTTTTTTTTCTATATCATATGATATAAGTGTATTTTTGTAAGTTCAGAAGGCAGCTTTACCATCACCTACCTAATGTCCGAAAACACTTCCAAGCTTGCGTAATCATGATACTCAAGGTGGATCTCTCCCTACGTTCTCACTTTCTTTGCCGCACTGACTCCTTTCCATCCACTTACTGGAAGGATGGTTCACTGTGCAATGAAACAAATCATTCACATCTATAGTTATAAGTTTCCTGGTTTAAGGACGGGGTCAAAAGAGGCAAAGAAGCTGAGCAGGTTGGGCCAAAAAGAAAGTTTTTATTGCTACAGTCAGCGTTTTCTACGGCTTTTCCCAAAAATGAGGTAGAAAAAAAAATTGATGGAGATGCCTTTGAATATCTACTAAGAAAAGGGAATTTTTGAGAGGCAACTGTGAAGGAGGGCAGGGAGGAAAAAGGAAGACTGAAACAATCCCTCAGTCCCTTCAGTAAAGGCCTTCTGGCAAACTTTGACATGGTCCTGTCTCAGATGAAACCCAGAGGTAACAAATGAAAATAAAGAGAGAAAGAAAAAACTGCAACAGAAAATTGGCATTCACTGGCATTGCCTGTGAGAACCTTGTGAATTTTAACAAGGTCAAGTGAAAGGTCCTGCATGTCGGTCAGGGCAATCCCAAGCACAAGTACAGGCTGAGCAGAGAATGGATTGAGAGCAGCCCTGAGGAGAAGGACTTGGAGGTGTTGGTTGACGAGAAGCTCAACATGAGCCAGCAATGTGCACTGGCAGCCCAGAAAGCCAACTGTATCCTGAGCTGCATCAAAAGAAGTGTGGCCAGCAGGTCGACGAAGGTGATTCTGCCCCTCTGTTCTGCTCTCGTGACACCCCACCTGCAGTACTGCGTTCAACTCTGGGGTGCTCAACATAAGAAGGACATGGAGCTGCTGGAGCGAGTCCAGAGGGCCACGAAGATGATCAGAGGGCTGAAAGACAGGCTGAGAGAGTTGGGGCTGTTCAGCCTGGAGAAGAGAAGGC